TTTCGGGCATTCTAAATATTTTTCATCTTTCTTCATTATGTGCGTTTCTTGTAGGCATATTATATCAGCCTTTTGTTTGATTAATTTAGTTAATATCCTTTTTCTTTTAATCGTTGAATTTAAACCGTTTATATTTATTGATAGTAATTTTTTTTCTTCTCCCATTTATTTAGTTCTGTTTCGCTCTTTGGTGAGTAACAGCCCCTGTTTCTCTTTGTGTTTGTGCTTTTGTGGTTCCTTCTGTCGTTTGTTGCGAATGAGTGTCCTCTTGGTTCCCTACAGATCCGGTTCTATTTTTGTGTCCACCGTATTCTTCTTGAGAATTTGTCTCCAATTCCTCCCTACTACCTTGCTCCTGCGGGCCCACCATCCGTTCATAAAAGTCCCGAGCTTTTTCCATGGCGTCTATTTTAATTTTCCTCTCTTTCCATGACACTAGCATCCCTTCTGGTATAAGCCATTTGAATGTAATTCTTTTTTGGTTTAAATAAGCTGCCAGAAATTTGTAATTGCGCCTTTGTTCCCTTACTCTTCTCGGAATCTGTTTAAGAATTATAATTTCTTTTTCTTTATAAGATATTGTTTTATCTCTAGAAATTTTATATATCATATCACAGATACATCTTCTGGTGAATCGTATGTGAACTTCCCTAGGGCATTTATGTCGCCTTGCGTAGTTTGTATTGACCCGGTAAACTTCATCAAACTCTTTTTGGATATCATTTCTGTCCTTTTCCAAAAGACCGGACAGTATTTCTGCCATCAAGTATTCCAGGTCCTCCTCTTTTGATTCCGCCACATTTTGAAATCTTAAGTACATTGCCGCCTTGTCCATCTCTAGGAGGACCAATGAGTCGTCCATTTCTTTACTCATGTTTTTAAAATCTTCATCCACTCTTTCTAATTCCTTTTCCGTTCGGTCAGTTCTTTTTTCTACCTCTTTTATTCTAACTTCATTTTTCTCCAAGGCCTGTTGCAGTACTCCCACTTTATCCTCTACTTTAAAGATGTCTGCCTTCATTTCTGCCTTTAATTTTCCCATCTCTTCCTTCAGTTCATTAATATCTGCTCTTGTTTCCCTGTGGTTTTTAGTCATTGTTTCTTGCAGTTTTGTCAGTGAATCCTATAAAGTTAGAAACATTGCATGAATGCTGGCATTCGAGATGCTAGTTTGCTTCTCTATTGGTAGTGTTTCCTCTATTGTTTTTTGCGCCATGGGTGATGTTGTTGCTAAAGTAGTTGTTATTGTGGGGTTGACCTTCCTGCCAGTTTTCAATGCTGTAGTAGTTGTAGAAGTCATTTCCTGTAAAATTTGTTTTTGTTGTTGTACAATGCTAAGTATATTGTTCCAAATTGGCATTCAGTGTTCTTAAATCTATTAGTAGAAATAATCAAGGTCTATCAATCTACTAAATAACTGAATTCTTAACTAATTAATAAGATAAATCTGTATTTCACTGATTTAACTTAAATGTAAAGTAAGCTTAGTTACAGAAAATGTTGCATTCCTAAATATTCCTAGATATGTTCACACAATGCAATATATTAGACTACAGAACTCTAAAATTGTTAATTAATCAATACCCAATATTCTTGATATCTCCCCTATATTCCCACACAAAATATAGCAATCTTTGTTATTAATAACTTAACTAAATTAATTAATCCAATATTTAACAATCTGATATAATGTGATCTATCAAGAGAAAATCAAAGAAAAAGCATAAATCAACATAACATATCAACTAATAAGAAAGAAGGAAGAATATTTTAAGTAAATATATGCGCACAGAGGAAAGTAAAGAAAAGAAAGAGAAGCTCTAAAAATATAATTTTTAGTTTTCACTTTTCAATTTGGGAGCTTTCACTTTAAGGACAGCAGAAATGGAAGGTGAAAAGCTGCTGAGTAACAGCTACGATTAAACAGCGTTCTCCCTCATTCAAAGGCTTCCAATTTTTTCAATTGCCCTGATTTCCTTCAAAAGGTGGGGAAAAAAGTGTCTCCTCCAGTGGAGCAATATCCTCAAGTTCCCAGGGATTGTTTGAATAAATTGTGTCTTTTTAGTTAAGTTTGATACTTTGATACTTTGTTGCAGTCACCTCCGTGTTCTAAAATGCTGCCTATGACACCGCTCTGTCTTTTTTCCCTTCCTCGATCAGCTTCGTTCTGCTTTCTGGCTCTGGTTGTAAAAGGATCTGCTCACATGCAAATGGTAACTAGATCTTTTCAGTCACTTCGTAATGCTGAATTCCTCTTTAAATCTTTGTTATTCCACCTCTCTTCTGTCTGCTGACCCCCTTCACTTTCACTTGCAAATTTGCTTTTGGCCGCTTTCTCTTAGGGCTCCCCACAGTATATCACAGCCTAAAGTCAATCTGTGATCTTCCAAATTTCTTCTCAGCCACTAACTTTAATCATCACTCACTTTCCCAATGAACTTGCAAACTGTCACTCACTCTTTCCTTCACATCGGTGGCAGTCAGGACTTCGGAGCCTCCATTAACATGGGGCTATTCTTGATCATTGGGCTCTGGAGGGTTTTCTCTTCGTTGCAGGGGGGGTTGCCTTCCCCACCTTACGATCTGAGTTTCCCCCACACTGGCACGGGTCTCTCCAGGACTCGAGCACCCCGAAAGATCGCACCAAACTCAAGAAAAGGTTAGCTGAAACCGCAGGGATTTCTGTCCCTCTGCTCGTCCTTGCCACCGGAAGTGATCCTCAGGCTGCCAGTTTGACAGGCTTGCTCTTTTATTTTAAGGTCAACTTTTGTTTCTTTACTGTTTTTTTCCCCCTTTTGGGTGCGAACTATTTTCACTTTCCATATTGCAGCCCAGGGCATTATATATAACCAGATAACAACTGATAAGAAATTTTGTATTTTAATTTATAGAGAAACTGTCTCAACCATGGATGTGGTGGAGATATTTGCAACAGAGGTTTAGGATTTTGGAAGATGTGGTAACGTTGAGAAAGGCCCCGATAAAAAATTTAAAGGAAAGTTTTATTATTAAGAACCAAAGAAGATATTTGATCCTGGATGGATCAGAGATCATGACTATGGTAATTTGATAACAGATAAGCTGTTGTAGACTTTCTATGAGCTAAATACAATAACAGATTGTTAACAAAGGGCTTTGAAGTTTAACTTTGCTAGTGACTTACCTGTTAACTAGTTTTGTTTTCTCATATAGTATATAGAGGACAGACCAAGTTGATTGTAAATAGATGTAGACGTTTATAAATTGTTGGCCTGCTTTGCAAGGGGTAGAAACCAACATTGTTGCATTATATTTATCAGTAATCAACTGGGGCAATAATATATGTATACGTGTTTCTGTTTTTTGTCCTTTTTAATGCAAATTTTGCAAAGGTGTTAGGCAGTTGTGCAAAAATGCTGTAAATTAAGAATGCTTTCAGAAATAGAAGTCTTAATAGGCTATTTTTATCAATTAACAAAATTGATACTTATCCATCATGCCATACCATCAGGGAATTTTAATTATTCTGCAGCAGGACAACAGCCCTAAACATACAATCAATCAGAACTATCTTCAGTGTAAAGAATTTCTGTATGATGGATTCTATTGATTAATCCAAGAACAATCAGTGTTCAGGAAAATACTACTTTTCACTCCTTAAAGTAGATTGCTGAATGACAGCAGCAGCTTGAGAAGACAAGCTGAGGCATAAAAAACTGTTGAAGAAGAAGTTGGATATGGCGGCTAAAATAAGTTCAGTAGTTAGTGAATTAAGAAGAAATTGAAGGAAACACAAATTAGAAACAATGCTTGAGGGAAATGGCATAAAGGAAATTATCTAGAAGAGACTTCTGACAAAATTTTATTAATGAAGAGCTATATACAGGAAGAAATGTTGAAAAGTTTGCCAAGACAAAATGGTTCAAAGAAGTAGGATATAACCAGATTTTGGCACTTTATTAGATCATGATTTTTAATTGTGATTTATAAGTAAGCCCATAGTTTACAAGGTATGGTTGCAAATATGCTAATCCCAAATTACATTGTGAATAATACTATATGGGACTTCTGGCTATGCTTCTGGTGGTGTCGGAGGTGAGGACCACAAGCTCTGCGGCCCCACTCAGCTTTCCCTGTCGAAGGGCTCCAAAAGGAGTCATAGCCACCCTGTAGGGGTGGTGAAGTAAAGAGGGCACCTTGCAGGTTGAGGAGAGCCACATCTCCCTGGTTTGGAAAATCTCATGACTGTGGGGATGCTGCAACAGTCATAAGTGTGAAAAACAGTCATATGTCACTTTTTTCAGTGCCACTGTAATTTTGAATGGTCACTCCACACAAGCAAGGTACCAGCAAAGAAAGGGGAAAAAACTCCAGAGAAGCTCCGGAGACAGGAAGTCTAGTCCTGCCAAGAATGTAATAAGGATTAACGGAGAGGCAGTTTCTGTAAGCAACACCAGAATGTTTCCTTCCTGCCTTCCTTACAGGATTAGGACAGTAATTTCTCCTAACAACCGGTTCTCCAAATTGCTTAGAATGTTAACAACTGGTTCTAGCGAATAGGTGCAAACTGGTAGAATCCCACCCCTTTGTACGCCGGAACCCAGAAGAGCAACGGGCAATGGCTGGCATGCCTGGAGAGATGGCTCTGTGTGCTACTTCCGATACGCATGCCATAGGTTCACCATCATGTGACTAGGGCTTTTCCAGCTGTGCTCCACAGAATAGATTCTGCAAGAACTTTAAGGGGTTCCATGATTGGCTATTCATTACATTTATATGCCATTGATCTCGCCATCAGGCAACTCTAGGCAACCGAGAAACAGACAAACCAATTCAACGCAGCCAGGGCATCCAGAGTGTTTTTTCTAAGAAACACTGGAAAAGATAACTCTTGTTTCACACAAAAATAGCCAGAGCTGCTATTCTGAGGATCAGAGGTTCTAGGAATTTGTTAACTAACAGGTTTTATGGCCTGAAAAAAGGTTGCCATAAAAACTGTTTTAGACTATAAAATACAAGTGTCATTTTGTCCAATTTTGATTAGAGTGCCAAACTGAGGAATAAATATTAATAATTGCAGCCATGTAAAATGTTAGAATATCTACAAGTATTATCTTTTTTATCCTATGACAAGCTGTCTGAGCCTCGGGAACTTGGTAGAATTCAGTCAGCAAATTTTGGACATGATTTACAAATTCTTTCCTCCAGGAAAAAGAGACTTTCATATTTGCAGAATGCATTAGCTCATTGCAGCATTTTATCACCTAAAGGTATAAATATATAGCAAAATCATGTTGTAAATCTGCTATGAGCAATGGCAAGTGAGATCCAGTTCTTAAATTACAGCTCCAAGTAACACAAATTTTATGCCAGAACAACATAATGCTGTCAATATTACCAGCTAATAAACATTCCATGTGGAAAATATATTCAAAAGTCCATGAAGGAAGATACTATTTTAGTGATCCTTCTCACACAAAAAATCAATCTTACATTTATTATACTATGTGGTATTTGACATCTATACACATATACAAACTACTGAAAAGAAATGTTACATCTTTTCACAAAATATGAATAATTTAGAAAAAAGTTCAATTAAGTATAATTATAAAAAAAGAAGTAAAAACTTTCTAGATTGCATCCATAATCTTTGCCCAAGGAAATATGCATAGCACTCCACAGGAAACATTCCCAACTCAAAGCATGCAAATGAAAATCCTACAGCAAATCAGATTTAAACCTATACCTAGCAAATCAACTTATCTGATTGAAAGTAAAATGTTCATGTTGCGGTCCCTTACTTTTCATTCCATACCATAGTATTACAAAAGAAAAAGATTGGGTTTTTTTATTTCAAAAGGTTCAGATCAAGATTTGATTATATTATATTGTTTATTTTGTTTATTTATATCTAAACATTAGGATGAGGAAGAAACACAGCCACTTCTCACTTTGTGGCTACCTCAGCAATTTTCTAATCAATGTGCACATTTAGGATTAAGTTTCCTACCATTGACAATCGGTGTGAAACTGATTAAGGTCTTGTCAGTTTCAGGCAACAATGCCATCAGGGGAGGGTTCTAATCAACTAATTAACATCACAACTTTAACCACAGTGTAGGTTCTCCTGAAAGACAACCTGAAATGTCCATGTGGGTAAAGCAGGGATAAGAACTCACAACATTGATCTAATTGTCAGCCCTGATCCATCTTGATTCAGATTTGGGGCTGTCACAAGAGGGGATGGGTAACTGTGGGAACGAGGGAGTAGTGAGAAGGGAGGATAGCCACATCATTTTGTCACCAGAGCTCAAGGTCGAGTCGCTGGAGTTTGGAGGGGAGTGACTGGACTTGGCAGGAATTCAGAATTGAGGTAGATTGGAGAGTGTGACTTGAGGATCATCAATAAGAGGCTGGGTGTGAGTTTTAGTGTAGCAGGGGGAAATGTGTGAATTCAGATTCAGGTTTTCCCCAGATGTGCCAATATGACTTCTCTAATAAATTCTTACTTGGATGGATTGATGACTGATTGTTTGGGAAGGGGGGGATTTTATTTTTAATTAGGTGAAAACGGCAGGAACATTTAGAGTGTGTTTTCACCAGATGTTGCCAATATATGTCCAATATAATTAATATTTGAGGAATCTGCTTGCCTCGGAGTCCTGTTTGCTATGGGTGTATTACATTTGTAAGGAATAAGAGAGAGATCAAAAATAAAATGTAGCAGTGTTAGAAATAGTCCTTTGTTCTAGGAATGCTAGCAAAGAGGCCAGGCTGAGGGGAGATTCCGTTACGCCAAGAAGCTAAGAAGCTAAGAAAAAGCCACATAGGCAATTATGTTTATGGGGAGGTGTTGATGGAAATGTAATATGAGAAAATAAAAAAGAACAAAGAAGGAGATACTGTTGTCTCCAAAAGCGACTCCAATTAGCTGTGACCGGCCAATGGATCCGATGTAGGAGGGACAGGGAGGCATCGGGATAGAAATGAATAAATTGTAATGCTTTGAAATCTAAGGTGTTGGCTTGGCTCAAACTTCATATTAAGGTCAGCTGAGATACCACTGCTCTTTGCAAATAGCTTTTTCTTTTATGCTTTGATTTAAGCTTAAAGTAAAAACTCTGTTTTCACTGATCCAAGTTTTTGTTGGCTTAAGTAATTTCCAACACTTGGAACCCTGTCAATTTTATAACTGAGCTTTATATCAGATAATAAAATTAATCAAATGAATGCAGGTAGCAATAACAGGTTGTAATCTTAGGTTTCTTGTTCACAAGAAAAGTGGATTTGCCTCAATTTATTTTCGCAGCTGTCATTTTCCTATTTACAATCTTACTGACAGTCTTTGTGGGTCTTTCATATTGCTGAGAATTATAGGAGGTTGAAATCCAACATAATTATATTCCAAAGGTCAGTAGGCAGAGCAGGCGAACATATTTGGGCTTTATCTTTCTCTCTCTGCACTTAAACACACAGGGTATCAGTGTAGCAATATCCAGGAAGATTGGAGACTTTCTAGTGTATACTAAATTGTGCAGCCCTCTGGATTCACTTCAAAGGAGTACTTTAAAACAAATGGACTGTTCTAATGAGGGGCACATAGATGTTACAATGCACTCCTACACATTTTGAAATACCTTCTGAACTAAATCTGGAGCACTACATCAACCTATCTTTACTACAAATTGTACTGTATGACACCCAGATGCTGTTACATCTTCTAATAGAAAGAAGCTCCAAAGCATGATGTGGCAATGCACATACTATCCATAGCTAAGAATGTAATTGTATAACAATCTTACATCAATGCCCGTGTATTTTAATCTCTCCTTGGGAGTATCAGAAAAGAATCACACACACCCCCAATTGCTCCATTTTTGAAATTTATATTATGTGGTGATAACTATCTTGTATTACCTTTGCCAGCTCCCATGAATTAGAAAGCCAGAGCCAAGATCTGCAGTTCCCCCAATAAAACTCCCCCATTTTATTTGTGTGATGGTTCAAAAATTTCATTTTTCCATTCTTTACATAAGAAGCAGATAGGTTGAAACTGCAAAGCAAAATAAACACCAATATAAACAACTCTCCAATCTCAGATGCTTACAATCCTTTACCCAAGGAAATCACGAAGACTATTTTAGATTTTTTTTTCAATTGAAAGGACAAAAAATATTTCCAAAAGAAAAAGAAAGGCAAAGGTGCTGAGGCAACAAACATCTGTAATTTTAATGGGTTACTCATAAGTGTTCCACACTGGCATCCAATAGGGTCCTCTATATATTTCTGTGGAAAATGTCTCTAAAACTTTATGACAAACTACCAGTTGAAAATTGTTTCGTTTTACCAAAAATGAGTTGGATTTTAAAAATTGCCATTAAATGTCTTTCAATCTTTCAATCTTAACTCAGTGCATCCAGTCTTATATCTTAAAATGTCCATCGATTCATCACACTGTGATAAAAATCTTCAGCAAATCATGTTTAATCTCTGCATACTTCAATGCACTTGCAAACTCACCTTTGAATGCAAATCATAACCTGCATTTGGATGTGTAAAAAAACTTGTGTGATTCTGCTGAATAAAGAAGAGTAGATGTGAAGGCTTTCACATTGATGATAGTTAAGAACACTTTGAAAAACTGCCATGGAATACAAATTGGTATATAACAACTTAATCTTTTCAATGGTCCTTAAAAAAACCAATAGCTAAAAGAATAGTAAGTATTCTTACTATTACTGTTGTGCATGTTTTGTTGTGTCAATTCTGACTTAAAAATATGATTACATAATTTTTCTAGATATTTTCACATATCTAGAGATATTCATGTCTTTATTATGTCTTTTGCACTAATTTTGGAATTGCTGAAATATAATTTGCTAAGCTAAATATTTATTATGAGAGCTAGGAATTAAAATGAGTTTCAGTTTTGTAACTTGGAAATCATGTCCAGAAACTAGTGGCCAGTTAGAGAACCTGCCCTCCATTCTAATTAAGTATGGAGAACGTACCACATGCTATGTAAAAGGAAAGGACAAATGGCAAGTATTTAGCGGGAGGAAGCTTTTTACTCCTTTCATAAGAGGCGGCACTGGTTGGTGGGCCAAATTCTTTGTTCCACCCAGACTTCCTCTGGCAAGCCTGCCCCCTCTTCCCATGTGTTTATGTAGGCGGCGCCATGAGAAGGCGGTTAAGAATGAAGCAGAGCAGAGGAGGAGTGGCGAGAGGCGTAAAATCCTCGTCTCGGCGAGAAGAGTATATTCCTAACAATGAAAAAAGGATGAGGAAGAAAGCCGCCGACTAAAAGGCAGAATTGGAATTAAAATGGCTAATGCAGCCTTCCCTCAAGACTCCTCAAGCTCCTGGAGGTTGCTGGACAGGATTTGCATCTTTCCCAGCACCAGATGGAGGAAAGATGCAAGTTTGCGATGGTGGCAAACAAAGATGCAAGTATTCTTCAGGAATGAATTAGCGAACGGGTGTCGATTGTTTCCGAAAGAGTCTACGTCCCAGAAGGATCCAACCCAGGCAAATTCAGTGCAAACTGGGGGCAATCTATTCTGCAGAGGCTACGTAGCGCGATGTCCCACCCGCTCCTGCGACAGCCAGAGCTCTGGGTCCGGAGTGGGAAGCCTCACCTGCTTGCCTCGAGGGATGCAGTGCCCACCACACCGAAAACCTGAAGGACTTTAAGTGAGCTGAGTCGCTGGCGATAATCTGGCGGTGGAAGGTGTGAATTTGCTCATTGGCGAAGCGCTGCAGAGCAACTTTCAACAGGAGGCGGCTGTGTCCGGCCTTCAACTAGTTTTTATATTCGGCACAGTTGAATTGCGAAGCCAGTTCCACCAGAACCAGCCTGTATTCGCGTCGCCAGGGAATAGCCAGATTTAGGCTGTGAAAAAGCGGGGCGGATTTCTGTCCTCATTTCATGAAAAAGGCCGGAAGCCTTCGGCAATCTTTTTAACAATCCGCATTCAGATTCCCTTGTCCTCTTCGAATAGTTACTTCAGTGTTCCTCAAGAAAATAGCCAGTACTCGATTCTCAAGATTTAGCAGTCATCCTTCCGCAATCCAATCTTTCTTTCGCATGAGACCCAATAGGGGAACTGCATTCTACCTTTACGTTTTCAGGATAATTCCCTGTCCAAGTAATTATCTGGAAAATAGTACCCTACAGAACAGAGCACCAAAGTTACTGAAGCACAGCCTTCACTAATTCGATGTCCTCCTTGGATGTTTGCTTTCTCTAACTCTCCAGGCATGTTTCCATTCTGAATGTATGTAGCTTTCATTTACTCTATGTAAAAAGCTGGCTTTTTTTGCATTCTGCACCAGCACTTACTCAGGCTGATGTAGAGATCTTGTCCACTTCCATCTTTTTAGGAAGTAACAGTACTGTTTTAATTTAGTGCTTGAGTTCAACTAGTGTTACCTGGCGTTTAGCAACAGAAGGGTATGTTCTCTTTTTAGTCCTCATGTCCTATATTCAGCAGGCAGCCTTAAAAATAAATATTGTCCAGTGTGTTGAGTATTTTAACAGGTATATTTTTTGTAAGCTTTTCTTGGCAAGGCATGCTTCCCTAGTAAGCAGAAACTGAAAGTTACCAAACACAGCTCTGACTTTTATTGCTTGATTAGTAGTACCCTGTTGCCAGCTAAATCAGTTACTGTGGAAAGCTTTTGCATCCAACTGGCTCTCACCTATTCCTGCAATTCAAAAACCAGGCTTTATGATGCTGGAAAATATTCATATACATGTAGACCTAAATACATTTTGCTTTTGCAGTTTTTCACCATAATTTTTGTAACAGATGGCAAGAAAGTGTGTGCCTTCTTCTCCCATTTGTCCATCTTGCCATTGTTCCTGCGTTTGTGTAGATATATGGTAAACCTAAATTCAATACACATGTGGATTTTCATGCCATTAAGATGGCCAACAGTTGGACACAATAAATGAACTGACAAAATACAGCTGCAATATGGAACAATCACTTTAAGATGCTATTTCAAACAGGTTTCTTATTATTCCCCTTGGATGAATGACCCATACACAGTATATTTTTAGTTTTCATTTAGCAATACTGAATATGATTTTCACCTTTTCCCTCATATCCAATAAAAAAAATTGCTCTATTTAAAAAGGATCTGTTTAAAATTCATCTATCATTTACTGCATAAATTTAAAAAGCTGGACAGAAGGTGCACTGGGTACTAGAACTCAAGATAGCTGACAGCAAGGTACTGTCTGAGACCAATAAAGTTGAGGAAAAGAACAGCCATCCAGATTTTTTTCCTATATAAATGCATTTTAAAAATAACCCTTTATTTTAAAAAAATCTAGTTTATTAAATATTGCTTTTTGGACAAGTTTATAACAAGTCCATTTTAACATTTCAAAGCAGTAATATTAAAATACAGTTTCAATATAAAGTTTTTCATAGTTTTACAGTATTCAAAAAATGACAGCTCTGCTTTAAAAAAAGACTATTACACCAAGACATCAGAAAAAAACATTTAAATAAACAATTTGGCATTTTCATAATCTTTGAAGTATAAAACCAAATATTAACTCTTTACTTGTAAGTGGATACATATTTATTATGAGTCTGAAATGTCTTAAAACATTTTAAGAGTGCTGTACCAAGGAAAAAAAACTGATGAAAGTGCATCCCTGAAAGTAGGCCAATCCATTGTATCAGCTTTTTAAAAATTGTGACATGTGAAAATGTCTCTTCCATTCTAAGTAACCAAAGGCTTTATTTCAGAGTTTTTCCATTTCATCTCATTTTTACCCTTTGTATAAACGCCTATGGGCGCCCACCAGGGGGCAATGTAAGGTTAGCCATTAAATCACGAACAGCTGCAAAGATTGTACACTCACCTAGAACAAGGGAAAGAAAAAGAAGTTAGAGAAGTGGATTACATTATGGCAGTGGTAAATACAAAAGACAAACAACTAACAATAACAAATATACAATTTATGCACCTTAACAGAATTCTAATGGTCTATACTACTGCTTTGTTCTAACTTACTAGAAAGTGTCCAATCGGTATAGAAAACAAGGTATGTCTTTTAAATACCAATAATACACAATATGAACAAATATCATCCTAGCCAAGCTAATGAGATTTTCCATGTGCAGGAAAGATCGTGCATTTAAAAGAGCCAAAAACCAAATTATGTTTGGCTTAAATATTTTTCTCAGTCTCCCAGGTATATCCTGTGCTCCTTAAAGGAAATGTGAACGCTAAACGATATTGCTAAAGAATGACCAATTCATACTAATAATACTGAATCGTACTTTTGATATTAGAAAGTGTGAAACAATTTGACAGCTACTGCTGGTATTGCTGTTAATAGTAGTTACATTAACTATTTAACTCTAATATTTTCAATCTTCAAATGAAAAAGTTATTAAATCTGAGTAAGAAGTCAGTAGTATTTGGAATTAATTATATCAACACCATACAAACCATCAAAAAAACTCTAGGAGAATCCCAACACTTTTCTTGACAAGAGTCTCAAAGACGAAAGAAATCCACAATTTCAAAAGTGATAACTCAAAACAGAATGCTTTTTTTATTTTTAACCAGGCAAAAAATCCACAAACTGTATGTCCACAGCTTTTGAAAGTGATGCTGTGTTTACCCTTTAAGCAATACAATAAATGAAGCCTTTATAACATAGGAAGGTTTCTAGCAGAGAGTATGTATGTTACTTAAATGTACACTGGACTTCAACTTTTTATTTCAAAATGATAAGACAGTGAAAAGTAGCCATGGAGTTGTCTCAGAGCTTCCATTTAGAAGGCATGAATTAATTATTTTGATGCCATTATGTTTTATAACAATGTGAGAAAAGATGCTGCAAGTTTAAAACCATATATGCTAATTTTATTTTTTTCCAGTTTTGGATAAGCTCTAAATGTAGTGTCAGGGGACCAATGCCCCACTAATTGTTCAATTACAAACTATAACCACATTTCCCTTCCCAAAAGCATCATTGCTTAAGTAACTCACAGTTAAGCTGCTCTCTGAAGCATGCATGAATGTTGGATAATTCACCTTGAACCATATACCTTGATGGAAATATATGGCTAACTGTCCCAAAGTCATTTACCTCCATGACGATCAGAGGTTCAGGTGGAGTATTACCAAAAATAAAGGCAAGCATTTGAAGAGGCACTATCCATAACACCTCAATACTATAAACTGCTTGCATATTGTCATGGTGTATATAATGTAATTTTAGAATCAGTGCTCATTAGTATGATAATACTACCCTATAAAGCCAATATAATTATTTGTAATTTCAAACCAAGCCCAAAAGCAGTTAACAAGAAAAGAAGAAATCATCTGAGAGATTATTGTCTTGGGCAGAAACTGCAAACCCAAGAATAAAACTGTTGAAAAAAGTGCATTTCAAAAGTTTCTAACACTTTTATTAAGGGAAAAAGATAAATGGAATACAAAAGCATCTCACAGAAACAAAGAAGGCAGCACAGAAGAGGAAATACAATCAAGGCAAGATGTTAGTTATGAAATACAGAAAATAAAGCTAGTACTATAATATGGTGCTTTATAAATAATTTATAAATCGGTCCATCTTGCTAGTTCCCCAATTTTCCTTGAAAGAGTACGAATGAGAACAAGTTAGGCAACCAGCCTCATAACAAATAAATTCCAATAAATGGGAAGATATATTCCTATAGTGCAGGATGACTAACAAGTGCCATTTTTTACATAAGTATATATAGCAAGTCACATGGTAATGCCTAAAATAGTGTAACTATGACCACAGTAGTATAAGTCAAATCATCAAGTGCATTACACCTCCTTGGTCAATAATATAAAGTCCATGTCATGTCAATAATACAACCCTTCTGACACCACAGAGCAGTATATTCAGACAGTTTATCATGTACATGCATTAACTAAAACCAGGCTTTAATAAAACCAATGAAGGCAAAGCAAGATTTCATGATAAAGTGCAATATTTAAAGTGTGATTGTTGAGACTCTAGCAACTCAAGCATGCAGATGATTTGACCTACTGCACATGTACAGTACCTGGCCGTGGTGAATTCAGTTCTGCAAACCTCTTTAGAATATTGCTAACCATCATGGGAGCAGCAACTGAAGAGTTCTGCTGCCGAGGAATGTCTGCCTGCTGTGTGGTCCCCGAAGCCATATCATAAATGATTGGAACAATTATGCTCATGGCTTCTTGTGGGACTGCAGATTTTTGTGTTAGCTGAAGCTGCCAAACAGAATAATATATACAATGATTACCATAGTAATTCTGCATCCATACAGTGTTTTAAGATCATAAATTTAATTTTGAATATATAACTGAATAATTCTAGTAAAGAATTACCGCAAGTGTTCATGGAAAAGCCAGATGAGCAAATAATGATACATGCACCATAATCTCATACAAATTATGCAATTTATGTATGTAATTGTATCATTTGTATCTGTATCAATTGCATCATGATGCAGGTGCCATTTTATTATTGTTAGAGCTTGTTATAGTTGCTGATAATAGCTACATCTGCATATATGAGGTTAAAAGGCTATATTTCAGAAGAAAATAGGTGCCTTTTAATCGTTTTTTCCCCCCTGCTGCTTGGAATTCTGGAAGTTGCTGTTCATAAGTGTATTAATTTAGGGAAGGCAGTGCTAATCATAACAAATTAAATAGGAACTATTTTTTAAATCTAAGAAACTAGACGAGTTCCAAAAAGGTTTTATGCTTCTTTCAAAAGATGTTATTAATATAGGTTATGCTAGTCATACTTAAGCTCAGATAAAGCAGTGAATTAACTTTATTACATGTGTTCTTAAAGACCACACCAAATAGAACCATCAGCATTAGCACCCATTATTTTACTTACAAAGAACAACATTTTCGATTTCAGCACAACAGCAGGTGTTCCTGGAGGTGCAATTGGTGGAGCACTTGGAGGAATTGTCAAACAAAACTGTACATTCCATTTCAGCTGGCTTGCCTGATCAGGAAACTAATTAATAAAATAAGCCATTGAAATAGATAAATAATCCACTTTCAATTTAAGTAGAGAAAATATTTGCAATAATGATAAAAAACAAAATGGACTTACGAGCTCTAGTTTCATGATGTGTACACAATCCCGAAGAATATGGGTAGGGGCTCCTAATAGCTTGGTAAAGGCTATTAAAGTATTGGCTTTGAATGGTGGCCCTGCAACCTGCAATAAATGCAGTATTTTTATAATGTTTCT